TATGATGCATCCTCAGATTCATTCCTGGTGAACTGATTTATAAAATTCTTCTCTAGTCCCAAAGCCACTGGTGCAGGGATTTAAAAATACAGTTACTTCCAACCTCATTTTCAACACACTCTTGAAATCTTAGAATCTCTATTTTAGTAATGATAGAAAAGTCAAGGGAGTTTAAGTAACATTCCTCAAAGGTATGCAGTTTGCTACTGATGAACACAGGAAATATCTAATCCCAGTCCTGACTGGCACCAATCTCCTAACTTTCTGGGCATCTGACAGGGTCAAGGAGCCACAGGATGGAAAGGAAGCAAAATCGTGGCGCATGACCTACCGTGAGTTGGGGCCCCAACCACCAGCACTTGTGTCAGGATGCCGTTCACCTTCACGTGGCCACTTGACAGGGACGTGCCCAGTTTTCCCATTGCCTGTGAAATGCCATCGATCAGTGTTGCACAGCAAGGAAACTACTCCATTTCTGCTGTCCTGGGGAGGGAGAGGGCTATACCTTGTCTCCAGAAATGATAAACTGCTTTTGGCAATTTGGTGGGAAGTAGCCATACACCCTTCCAAGGCTTTTTTTCTCACTAGCACCGTGGAATAAATAGCCAAGCCTGGAAAGAAACAGTGAGCTCAGCTGCCAAGGGTCCCACTCCAAGGGAAGAAAACACAGCTCTGCCCCATCACACCTCCCTCCCTCCTCCTTTTGTCCTTGTGTCCTTAGGCGAAGGGCGGGACCACTGGATTCCAGCAAAACAGTACGGAAGCTCTTGCACTTCTCAACTGAACACACACAGGGATCCTGCTGCTAGGGGCCCCATTGCTTTTCTCCAAATCCCTACGTTAAAGTCTTAACTTCCAGTACTTCAGAATGTGACTGTATTTGAAGACTGGTTAACCAGGTGACTGAATTTTTTAAAAAGGAGATAGAGTGGGTCATAATCCAGTCTGATTTATTTCCTTGTAAGAAGAGATCAGGACACAGACACACTTGGGGATACTGTTTTATGCCATAGGGGGATGAGAGCCATCTGTAAGCCAGAGAGAGACCAACCCTGCTAACACCTTGCTCTTAGATTCCAGCCTCCAACTCTAGCATAGGACAAATACATTTCTGTTGTTTAACCCACCCAGCCTTGTGGAACTTCGTCATGGAAGCCCTGGCAAATTCAGACATTTATCTGCTGCCTTTTAAATTTCAAAGATGGAGAATATGGAAGATTTCCCTGCACTCATAGTTGATGAGTTCCCACAGCAGCTGGTACCTGCCTCTGTGCTCAGTGATCCCCAGAGCTCAGTATCAGTACCTACCTACCTAGTAACATTCTTCCAGACTGGGCTTCCGACTAGCAGCAAGGTTCTGTTGTTCACCATGACACTGTGAAGGGAGTATCCAAACCAAGAGAAGTCTTCCTCACCTCTCACCAGCCAATCAGCCTCTGCCACACTCAGCGTCTCTAAAGAAGATACCCAATCCCTTTAAATGCAAGGTCTATCTGGACAGGTCCTGTTTGTAGGCCAGCAAGAAACAGCATCATTCTGTTGAATTTTTGCCAGAATTCATTCCTCCTATCAATCCCAGGACTAAAACATCAGAAATAGATCTCTCTGCTGGGTGCTGGTGGCTCACACCTATAATCCTAGCTACTCAGGAGACTGAGATCTGAGGATGGCAGTTCAAAGCCAGCCCAGTCAGGTTCGTATCTCTAATTAATCCAGAAAAGGCTAGAAATGGAGGTGTGGCTCATGTGGTAGAGTGGGAGCTTTGAGCAAAAGAAGTGCAGGACCAGTGCTGAGGCCCGGGGGGAGTGATGGGGGGGGGGGAATGAATACATTTCTGGGGGAATGAAGAGAAGGGAGAAAGAACAGAGTCAAGAAGTCAACGTATAAACTACAAAATCAAGAAAAAATACATTTCTATGTCTCATCCTCATGAGCAATAGGAAAAATAACCTATTGGCCCCTTTGGTTCTGTATGAAGATACTATCTTAAAAGCCCTTCTCTGGAAAACTAAGAGCACACTGGGTTACCTTTGTCCTAAGCCTTCTTAGCATTTCTATTTTACATTGAGAAACTACAAAAATAGCCTGTTTGGGTTGGATGTGGTAGTATATGCATGTAATCATCTGGGCAACTCAAGAGACAGAGATAAGAGGACAGTGGCTCAAGACCAGCCCAAGCAAAAAGCTGGGACCCTACCTCTAGAACAAGTACACACCTGTAATGGCAGCTACTTAGGAGGACTATAGTCCAAGTTCACATGGACAAAAGCAAGAGACCCTGAAAGACTGAAAGCAAAAGGACTGGGAACATTGGCTCCCGTGATAGAACACACACTCAACATCTTGAGTTCAACCCCTAGTACCAAGAAAAAAACAAAGAATAACCTATTGGCCCCTTGAAACCTGCGTGAAGAAATTGGGTCAATTTTTCTTTTCTCAGTGAATCTATGTCATTTGCTAGAACATCTGTAAAGATAAGAGACTGTTATTAGATCTGGTGAAGCCAGGTGCTAGTTTAATCATGCCTGTGATCCTAGCTGCTTGGAAGGCTGAGATTGTCCAGCCCAGGCAGAAAAACTCAAGAGACCTCAACAGCAGCTGGGCATGGTGGTATACACCTGTCATCCCAGCTGTAATGGGAAGACTAAAATAGGCAGAACTCAGGCATGTTCCTGGACAAAAAGCCCTTTCTCAAAAATTACCAATACAAAGAAATACTGTAAGAAAGAAAGAGATGGGAGAGAGGGAAAGGGAGGGAGGTCAGTCTTGGTAAAATGATATAAGGACATAATCACACATGTGATGGGTGTCTGCCCCTTCCCCCATCTGATACTACCTTTGTCACTCTGGCTGGGGCTAGAATAAAATGCAGCCACAATTCCTTTCTGCTTCCCTCCACCTGGTGCAAAAGGGGAGCCAATCACCAGGTCTGGCTCACTGTCTCCATTCATGTCTGCAGCCAGGAGTGTCCAGCCCAAGTTGCAGTAAACATCCTTCAGAGAGACCAGAAGTGCACGCTGTTACTGAGCCCTGGGATAACTGAGGTGCAGCCAGATCTCAATTTCTGCCCCTGGATAACCCAGTGGACATACCTGACAGGAGATGGTGATGTTCGGGGAAGAAGGCAGTCTCCCTTGTCTGGATCCATAGTAGACATACACTGCACCCTAGACAAGGATGGTGACAGGCCATCATGCCATGAGCCCCAGCCCAGACCATCCTGCCATGAGCCCCAGCCCAGGCACTGAATTTTTTTCTTAACCTGTCCCTGCTATCAGACTGTGCAAGCCTAAAGTAAGTGCTTTTTGTTGTATTTGTTGGGGTTTGTGGGGTTTTTTTCTCTTGGTTGGTTTTTGTTGTTACCTTGCTAGAATTGAGGCTTGAATTCATCATCCCTTCACTTTTTTTGCTCAAGGTTGGCACTTGACCACTTTGAGTCACAGCTCCACTTTTGGCTTTTTGCTGGTGAGAGATTAAGAGTCACGTAGACTTTCCTGCCTGGGCTGGCTTCGAACTGTGCTCCTCAGATCTCAGCCTCCTGAGTAGCTAGGGATTAAGGCATGAGCAGACAGCCCCCGGCAACAAGGACCATGTTTATCACTGCCTCCTCACTGTCACACTAAGGACACCACCATTCAGAATCAGTAGAATGACTTAACTCCCTGCGCCAAGGCCCAGCTCCATTTCAGCCTCTTCCCTCCCTGCCTGCTTGCGCCTCTGAAGAGAACTCAGAATTTGTTCATCATCCATCAGGGGACCCACACTATTCCATTTCCTCTGGTGGGTCAGTTTTTCTCCTAACTTGCCTGTCTCCATCCCCAGTCATTCTACATGACAGGTAAGACCCATCTTTCCTCTCCAAATCTGGCAGACACTAATTAGGCTGCGGAAGCAAGGAAGGGCTGAGACAGGTGCCAGCTCAGGATGCTCTCAGGATGCTCGGCATCGCCCAGGAGCTAGACGCACTTCCAACCGGAAGTGACAAGTCACTCTAGAGGGAGGGGGAAGGACTTAAGCAAAAGTTCTGGCGTGAGTGAGCCAAATGGGTGGGTGGGGTTCAGGATGTGACAGATCCTTTTAGAACTAGAGCATGAAGGAAGGGACAAGGAGTGAGCTGTGCTGTGGTATGGAGAACTTGTGGGACCCAGGATCTCTGCTCTCTGTAAGAAAATAGGAAAAAGGCAAGGCCCAGAGAAGTCACTTCTTCTTGCGATGACAGAAAGCTAAGCATTAGCTGGGCTCTCTTGCTAAGCTTTCAGCACTGTGAAGCAAAGTACTTGATGAATCTGGCAAACCATGAGGCCCAAATCAGTCCAAGGAGGTGGGATCAGTGCTGTGAGGTAACCCTCACAGGACCCGATTGGAGCTTGCCCTCACCTGCTCAGAAATGGCTCCCCCCTTTCCCCTCCTTCCCTCCCTCCATCTTCCCACCACCAGCAACCTTACTTTGTATGTGAGCTGCTCTGAGCCCACGGAGGGTGCTCCCACGGCCAGGTCAGGCACCCCATCCTTGTTAAAGTCCAACACAGCCAAGGCTGAGCCAAACCGACCTGAAGGCTGAAGAGGCACAAGTTACAGTCTTCAAAACAACACTGGAGATCTTTTGCATGGAGAGCCTGGGAGCGTACCACAGCTAAAAGGCTGGAGTACTCCAACACCTTTACCACTGTTGCGTTGGGTAGCTCTGCCCTGAGGGTATTTTTGGCATGTCTGTCTGTCTTGGGGTCAGGGAGGGTTTAAGGGGCAAGGACTAGGTTTGTAGAAAATGGTCTTACATGTACTTCACCCAACACTAAGTCCAACTCTCCTTCAAAAGTATCTAAAATAACGATCACAAGCAATAGCTTGACATCTGTGGGATACTCAGGACATTTTAGACCCAACTGTCCAAGGCAGTAGTAGGGCTACTCATTAAATGTAATTGATATCAAATAAAATCTTAAAATTCCTCATGTGCATTCAGAGCACATGTCAAATGCTCTGATCCCAGTGCTTAGTGGCTGTGACACTGTACCATGCAGCTACAGAATGGACCCATCATGCCAGAGATCCATGGGACAAGTGTGACCTAGACAGTTTTAAAGTGCCTCACATGGATTAAGACATCTAGTAATTATTATCCACACTCATAATTACAGCTGGAAATCTATCTGCTCAGAGACAGTTTTCAGTTTTTTTCCAAGGTGGATTCTTTCTCAGATAGATACAGATGGATAGATAGATAATAGACAGATAGATAGATGATAGATAGTAAATACATATATATGCATACACATATATATCCTACTATTGCACATATATACACATCCTTTATTATTGTCTATTTTTCCTACTGTCTACAACCAGCCTAAACCTTAAAGTAATTCTTTTTTTGGGGGGGGTCCGGTCGTGGGGCCTGAGCTCTGGGCCTGGGCGCTGTCCCTCAGCTCTTCAGCTCAAGGCTAGTGCTCTACCACTTGAGCCACAGCGCCACTTCCGGCTTTTTTCATTTTGCTTATGTGGTGCTGAGGAATTGAACCCAGGGCCTCAGACATGCAAGGCAAGTGCTCTACCACTGAGCCACCTTCCCAGCCCCTTAAAGTAATTCTTTAAGTTCCACTTCTTTCACAACTCACATTGCAATACTACTTGCCACACCCTACATGCCCCAGTGCCCAATCTATCATCCATTGGCAAATCTCTCTGTGCAATAGCATCTGTATACTCTGCTCATTGTGACAAAGCATGAACTTGATAAACAAGAAGACTGTGCTGAGAACAAGGCATGCTGGGTCAGGGTGGGGACCAGAAACTAGTCCTATCCTCCCCACCTCCCCTACACGGGGGGGGGGGGGGGGGGGGGGGGGCGGGGAACTGGCTTGTTCCATTACCAGCAGCCATGCTGGGAAACCCTTGGCAAGGCGGCCAGTTTTTCCTAGTGAAGCATAACGGCTAATCCTTGAGTTATGGACCCTAATCCTCCACTATAGACAAGGACACAGGCTGGTGGCAGCCCAAGGCTAAGGCTCAGGATTCTCATCCTCAGTCTCTGCCTTAATCCTGCTATCTTCCAAATCACCAACAGTCACTCACTATAGACAGGAACCTAGAGCCAGCTCCTTCCTCAACCAAATGAAACTTCCAGAAAATTGACCCCCATCCACAAGAAGCAGCTGCCTCCTATTTCCCAGTGCATCTGAGCCCAAAAGATTATTTCGACTTTACCCAGCAGTCTGGCAGGAGGGTGGCTTTGTGGAGCACTGAGAAGCAACAGAAATGTGTTGCTTTATTTTGGAAATTCGCCTCAGGACTGTGTGAGCTCATACAAGGGCCAGACAAATTATTTCTACATCTCAGGTTCAACACTCCTTCATCAGAGCCATTATACTTTTTTGTTCTTTTTAAATAAATATTCTAGTAGGCACCCTGATTTCTCTCTATTAACTGTTGATGGAGAAATAGCTTTTCCAGGGAAAGACCTCTGATCCAACCCTAGCACTTGAAACTCTGAGCACCACAGTGCAGGGCTAGTGTTCCTCCACAGCCCCCACACTCTGGGACTAATAGCAGGGCTCTGCCTGTTGTTTTTATTACTATTGTCGTGCTTTGTGGCAAGCACTTCAGGACCTAAGTACTCATTGAATGAATTAATAATGCCCACATTCCATGAAGAATTGTATGATCATGTGGGATTCAAGGGCTGAATAACTACTCAAAAGGAATGAAATCTGAACGAAGACTAGAGTTTACTAAGGTGCCATTGTTGGGTTTTTTTTATTAAAGTGGAGGAACTCAGGTAAAGAGTACATGGGAACTCTGTCTTTACAGTTTTTCTGTGCAGCTAAATTTAATTTCTAACAAGGTGGGGAAGGGAGAGGAGAGAAGAAAGGGAAGAGAGAAGAGAGGAGTAAAGAGAGAGGTAGGGAGAGAAAGACAGGACAGAGGAGGAACGAGGAGGGGAGAAAGGGAGAGTGGGAGGGAAGAGAAGGAAAGGAAGAGAGAGGGGAATTCAGAGGAGAGGACTCTTATTTGGTGCCCCTCTCCTTGGGGAGTCTCACATTTTTTTCCTTTCGGAGTTTTCCTTTTGCTTTTAAATAAACATTCTGTTTACCTTAAAAAAATTTTAATCACAATGCAATTGGATACTCAAAGAAGTTCTACACCATATGTGTGTTGAGAATGCATTACATGAAATACTCAAGAGTTTACAACAGCGTGAGATAAACAGTGTAGGTGCTTCTGAAGATAAAAGTGCTCCATAAATGTTTCTTGTTACTGCTTGTTATTCCTGAAGACCCTGCCAAAGGATCTGGGCAGTTGAGACGGGGTAGAGGGCTGGGTTACCAGCACCATAAATACATTTTCAAGAATTCAGGCAGTGGCTTCCTGACCACTGAGGGAGAAAACTGGTGCACGGCTCACCTGGAAGCCCTCCAGGATCCCATGGGCCTCCTTGTCCAGGTCCAGGTCAATGGGGGGCAGGCCCAGCTCATTGCCATAGATGAGGTACACACGCCCAATCTGGAAGCGGCCGGGATGGCTGTAGCCTGGTGCACCTGCCACGAGGTCACTGTAGCCATCCTGATTGAGATCCGCCGAGACCATGGCCCTTAGGAAAGAGGGCACAGGACAGCCACTGCAAGATCCACTGAGGAGCGTCGGTACAACTGTCTCCTGCCTCTTCCCTTCTAAGAGTTCCATGCTTTAGCTTTCTCTCACTGATACTCCTCCCTGTGTGGCTGCTATAAACATCTACTTTGGAAACCATATTGTTTGAGTGACTCACACTCTCACTTTTCACAAAAAAAAAAAAATAGCAATGGACAAATCAAGGCCTCTGGACCACATTAAGTAGCCTCACAAAGCATTGTGTCCTATATGTCAAAGCAAAGCACCACTTTACATCCTGGGCTGGCCCGAGGAAGAGGATATGCGTACCCAGCAAAACCCCCAGCCAGATATACACCACTTTCTAACCTGCTTACTCCAATGTTACCAAATCAAAGATGAGCTTGTGCTAGATATTCTTTATTTCTACCATAGCTACACAGAACACCTTCCATTGTGTTAAGTATTCAACATATTTAATGGAGGCTTTTAAATGAGATTCATGATTTGCCAGTGATAGAACTGGACAGTTTTTAAAAGGTTCAAATGCCACTCTTAGGTTTGCAAAGCCCAAAAGCTATTTGATTTTCCTAGCGTGTATGGCCACATAAAGAAACAAAAGCCAGGTACCAGTGGCTCACATCTGTAATCCTAGCAACTTGGGAGACTTGAGATCAAAGGGTTGTGGTTCAAAGCCAGCCTACTAGGCAGAAAAGCCCTTGAAACTCTAACCAAGTAATCACTAAAAAGCTGAAAGTAGAAGTGTGGTTTAAGTAGAAGAGTATGAGAGTGCAAGCCCCAATGCAAGAAAGAAGGAAAGAAAGCAAGAAAGAAGGGAGGGAGGGGAGGGGAGGGAAGGAGGGAGGGAGGAAAAGAGGGAGGGAAGGGAGGAGGGAGGCAGGCAGAGAGAGGGGGAGGGAGGGAGGCAGGCAGGCAGGCAGGGAGGAAAATAGCAGGTCACAGGGAAAGGGGCAAAGCTTTTCTAAGGCTGGGATGCCAGGCCAGAGGAACCACTGTGTTTTGTCCCTCTGAGAGTCAGTGCTGGTTTAGGAGGTCCTGGGACTTTGGCTTCGGTGTGTGGCTGATAGTCTAGCAGAAAGCCTTTTTTGACTCTTTCACTTAGGGGGCCAAGAACAGCCACAAATGAAGCGACAGCATTCACCTCCCAGCCCTCTGTGCTAAGGCCAAAGACATCAGTGACACTAACTCTTACCCACTAAATTAATATATTTTCCTGATGATGAATTGAGAAGAAAATAGGGTGCCAACAGATACCACATAAAACTCTTCACAAGGGGCTGAATTAAACAAATACTGATGGCAACATTCACAAGTCCAGTTGTATCTTATACATACCAACCAAGCCTGGCATAGGGAACTGAGGAGAAGTAAGAGGCTGAGGGGCTGGAGACATGCTTCAGTGTCTTCTGAGAGCTGCCTGAAAACATCATCCGTAATTTCTGTTCCAGAGCCTGGTACATAAAGGATACAGAATCCTGTCGGGAAAACAAACAAACATCAAAATAGGAAAAGGTACACAGAACTTTTGTAAAGCAAAGGAGCTAAATAACTCCAGCAGTGTTAAAAAACTGAAACAAGAGCAGGGTGGTGGTGGCTCATGCCTGTAATCCTAGCTACTCATGAGCCTGAGATTTAAAGATGGCTGCATAAGAAGCCAACCTGGACAAGAGTCCGTGAGACTCTTATCTCCAATTAAATATCGCCAAAAGTGAAGCTGTGGCTCCAGCAGTAGTGTTAGACTTGGCACAAAAGCTCAGGGACAGTGCTCAGCCTCTGGATTCAAGCCTGGGAACAGACACAAAAGTAAATAAAACAGGGATTCCTAGCAACAAGATCACTTAGAACAGGCAATCCGGAGAATGACTTCATGATCCCCAAGTTACACTGAGAGAGGGCGGGCCAGCATGGGAAGAGTTAGTTTGGACCTACCCAGAACCAACCATATTGATTTGCAGAGCTTAACTGAATAATATTTACAGACAAAAAGCTTAGAAAAGCCAAGTCCATTCAGACTAGATCTATAATTGTGTTTATAGCTTTTTTTGGTTTTGTTTTGTTTTGTTTTTTGCCAGTCCTGAAGCTTCAACTCAGGGCCTGGGTGCTGTCCCTGAGCTTCTTTAGCTCAAGGCTAGCATTCTACCACTTGAGCCATAGCACCACTTCCAACTTTTTCTGAGTAGTTTATTGGAGATAAGAGTCTTATGGACTTTGCTGCCCAGGCTGGCTTTGAACTGTGATCCTCAAATCCCAGCCTCCTGAGTAGCTAGGAAAATTACAGGTGTGAGCCCCTAGCACCTGGCTTGTGCTTATACGTACTTATCAAATAAACTGGACAATACCAAGATGTCAAAACTACCCTCTAAGCTACACTTACATTAAGGTTCAAGACCTTGCTCAAATATCACCTTCTTCATATAATAGCTACCAAGATAAAAATTATCTTCCTGCTATCTATATCCGCCAACCTGCCCTTCCCCCCTGCACACCCGCCAAGGGAAGCATGGTATTTAGTATGTGCTACTGCATCGTGGCTACTTTTTTGTATTTAACATGATATCTATTTCCCGATTTTATATTCCCATGAGAGCAGGTCATCATTTAGAACATGGCCTCATGGATGCATTTCATATGCAGTGTTGTCCCTCACCTTGTGGCTGTGCACGGTGAACCTTCAACATTGCCGACATACTTGGATTAAGGCCAAAACAGCATCTGCCCAGAGCTGCCTTGGACTCTACCAAACGACAAAGGCTAGTCAGGTGCACACACACATCTTAGGGGTTCTCTGGAACATACTACATTTAGATGCCAAGGCTATTCTCTGGCCTGGCACAAGCCCAGGTAATGGTCCTTGGATAGCCAATCCCTAGGGACTCTAGAGAACAAGTTATCTCGGGAAACCGTAGAACCTTTCTCCATTAATAAGAGGAAGTTCTTACCGGGGTCCAGGAATCCACACTGAAGAACACTCCTCGTCCAGTGTAGTTTACATTTTTTCCAATATCTTTACTTAAGGATAAGGTCAAATTCCTATGAAAGTCACTCTTCTGACCTTTTGTGCTGTTGAAAAGGCAGAGCAATAAGATGGTTAGCTGAGAAAAATCACTGAATAGAAGATAAAGTCTGCATTTCCAGCTGGGATATAGCTCAGTGAGAGCATCACCTAAGATGCGCAAGGTGCTACCCCAACCACCAGCACTCAAAAAAAAATAATCACAAAATTTTAATACAGAAAGATTGAAGCCAGACACTAGTGGCTTATAGTCCTAGCTACTCTGGAGGCTGAAATATGAGGATCATGGTTCAAAGCCAGCCCAGGCAGGAAACTCTATAAGACTCTTACCTTCAATTTTCAAAAGCTGGAAGTGGAGCTGTGGCTCAAATGGTAGAGCCCTAGCCTTGAGCATAAAAGCTTAGGGACAGCGCCTAGGCCCTGAGTTCAAGCCCCAGGACTGGCACACAAAAAATGGGAAGAAATAACTCAAAAGAACAAAATTTTAGAAAAACTTGCACTATAGAAAAATCATACAATAAACTTTCAAGGCATAAACCCTATCCTTATAGGAACTGGATATTTCTATATCCAGTTATCTTTATATCTATAGCTTAGTGGTAAAATGTCTGTGTAATATGTAAATGGCCTTGGGTTCAACTTCAAGATATAAAACAAAAAAACCCTCAATATTTCCTATAGTCTCAAAGTGCAACAAGAATAAAAAGGCCTTCAACATTATTGAATGAATGAATGGTTGTTCCCTGGCTCTGGCAGGAGATCCCAATTATTCTAATACAAACCAGATCTCCTCCTCAAGAATGAGCAGAGAGGGCTTCTCCCTGTCCTGTCTCCTTGATAAATGTTTTTACAAGATGAACTCTGGATAAGGTGTATGTAACAGTGACCATAACAGCAATAAAAATACCAACTATGATTTACAGAGCCTCACTGTGAACAAACTGCCTTATGTTCATGATCATACATAGATACATACACAACTTTCTTTGTCCCATTAAACAAAAGGAGGAAGATACAGCTCAAAAATACAGCACTTCTCAAGTGGTAGAGTGCTAGCCTTGAGCTGAAGAGCTGAGGGACAGTGCCCAGGCCCAGAGTTCAGGCCCCATGACCAGACCCCCCCCCAAAAAAAATACAGCACTTTGCCAGGCACCAATGGCTCATGCCTGTAATCCTAGCTACTCAGGAGGCTGAGATCTGAGGATCGCAGCTCAAAGTCAGCCTGGGTAGGAAAATCCATGAGACTCTTATCTCCAATTAACCACCAGAAAACCAGACGTAGTTCTGTAGCTCAAATAGTAGAGTGCTCACCTTGAGCTGAAGAGCTCAAGGGCAGTTCCCAGGTCCAGAGTTCAAGCCCCACTACTGACCTCCCTCCCCCCAAAAACAGCAATCTGTTAGTCACAGGGCTGTGAATGGCAAAGCTAGAACATGAACCTCTGATTGTCTTAAAGACCCCATACATTCAGCACTTAAAGGGAAGAATGTTGTTTTTCTGTAAATGGTTTTGGAATCCACCTACCTGAGGCTGTTGTTCTGCTGACCACCACATGCAATGAACAGAGGGTTTTCAGGTAGGCTACAGTCACTGGGAAACAGACATCATTATTCTACAATCTTTTCAACCAGGAGTTTGATCCAAGAATAACTAGTAAAGTTTAAACCACTTTTGAAAGGTTTCAAGTATCCCTTACCTAACCATACAGGACCAGGGAAAGGCCATAATCTTTCTAGACATGATGGCTACACTGACAGGTTAGTGACAGACCTCAGAATCATACCTTCTTCCACTTCCCTGCTGGGTTGCCAAATGTTAATATGAAATATCCCCAGAATTAGAGATTACGACAGAAATTGGGCTGAAGGACATTGCCTTCTGCCTAGTTATGCCCATGTATGTCCAAATTCTTCTCAAGGGCTCAATTTCATTCTCTTAAGAAAATTCTACATTTTTGGTACCTAAATAGGAAATGAAATGTCCCCTTTTGACCTTGGAGAAAGATGGCTTCTAAGAAGGACTTTCTTTCCCATCCTGAACAGAAAGATCCAGTAAGGAAGGGGAGTTGACATTTTGAAAGGAATAGTGTGTGCGTGTGTGCGTGTATGTGTGTGTGTGTGTGTGTGTGTAAGAGAGAGAGAACTAAGGCTGAACTCATAATCTAACTTGTGTTTGTATGTGCCAGTCCTGGGGCTTGAACTCATGGCCTGGGCTCTGTCCCTAGCTTTTTTGCTTAAGGCTAGTGCTCTATCATTTGAGTCACATAACCACTTCCAGCTTTTTCTGAGTAGTTTATTGGAGATAAGAGTCTCCTGGATTTTCCTGCCTTCCTCAGATCTCAGCCTCCTGAGTAGCTAGGATTACAGATATGAGCCACCAGTGCCTGGCAGCCTCTAACGTTTATGTAGCTTTTCGGCTCAAGGATGGCATTCTACCATTTAGGCCACACTTCCACTTCTGTCTTTATGCTGGTTAATTGGAGATGAGAGCCTCACAAATTTGTCTGCCTAAGCTGGCTTTGAACTGGGATCCTCAGCTCTTTGCTTATTCTTCATTATAGACATGAGCCTCTATCAGCAATGGGGCTGGAAGGAAGACTTCTTTGAAGGAGATCTGTATGAGTGTCACTGAGGGAGGCCTTGTGGGAGTGAGAAGGTCTCACCAGATACAGAAGTGAGGGAGTAAGAAGTGAGGAGAAGCTGAAGGGGAGCTGTCTGTGTCAGCTGTGAGCTGAGATAAAGGTTCTCTGAGTCCTCTGTTCCCCACCATCATCTAAAAAGAAGGTAGCTCGGCCACCTTCCCACCTGCAAACCCATTTTAAGGTAAGTAGAGGTCTTATCGAGGCCATAGACATGGCTGCCATCCATTATTTCATTTTTTTCAAGAAACTATAAGTTTCAAACATCATGAGTTTGGGAAGCTAAGCTATTATTAGTAAGTTGGAAGATGCTTGTTAAGATGAAAATATTTGTTGTTTTTTTTTCTGTTAGGAACTTATTCATTATCTTTCTTGGAGTCCTTTCCAAATTTACCATGAATTTGTATAAATTCTGACAAATCTTTTTATGTGTAAGAAAACAATTTGTAGAAATGTATGTCTGGTAAATTAGGACACAGATCAAGAGACAAGAACTCTGTTCCTCTCAATTACTTATAATCAAAGGAGGAAGTTCAGTTACACATCTTTTTCACTATGGCAGAGCCAAATGCAAACCAAACAGGAAAATGCAGGTCATTCACTATAACACAATCAGGTGCAGAGTCCTTCCTTCTAATAATTTTCATAATAACAGTAGCCCACATTTTCTAAGTGCTTACTCACACCAAACCCTTTGAATGAGTGTTCATTTACTCCATATATCCTTATAACAATAGAAAGATTACTGTGTCCATTTTACAGATGGGAAAAATGAAGGCTTGGGGAGGTTAAGCAACTTGTTTCAGATGACTCAGTAGTAAGTAGCAAATCTCTCAACTTCCAAACCCCAACCGCTCTATAACCATGTACTCAAAACTCCATAGCTATGGTAGAGGGCTTAGGGATATGACCTGAGATTTCTTTCACTATGGAAAACTGCATTTTTAACATTTTAACACACACAGGTTCTAGAGCTTGAATTCAGAGCCTAGATGCTGCCCCCGAGTTCTTTTGCTCAAAGGTCTACCACTTGGGCCATAGAACTACTTCCAACTTTTGGTATTTAACTGGAGATAAGAGTCTCATGAACTTTCCTTCCTGGAACTAGCTTCAAACAATGAACCTCACGTCTCAGCCTTTACTGATGTGAGCCCGTGATACCCAGCACTATTAAGACTCTGTATCTCTGCCAAGTTGTTGTTCACTGAGCCTTTAAAAACAAGTTTACTATGTAGTAATCTAATTAAGGGAATTTTATTTCAAATCAACACAATGTGAAACTACAATATTATGTGAATACTAGCAAATGCTTTAAAGGGTACCTTAACATCATCCAGATCATAATATTCTGAAGCTCTGTTCCTCTAGGCCACTCTACCTACCAACATCCACTCTTGTATGACCCTGCCATGTAACTGTCTCCCAAACTCAGCCCCTGCCCAGAAAACCCTATATACCCACTGCTGATGGTGAGACCAGAACTTTGGTTTCATCCCGCCCTACATTAGTCCCTGCCTCCTGCCCTTCCCACCACTCCCTGCCTGACACACTCTGCATAGTAGTAGAGTAGTGGGGAATGCCCAAGACTAATGACAAAGGGGTTCTCAGAGGAACCTTGGCTCCCTTGGAACTACAGGTGGATTTTTCCTAAGAGTTTCTTTGCAGCTGGAAGTGGGCTGTGCCTGTCAACTCTAATCCATATATGGCAGCTCCAACTTTCTTCTCGACCTGTCGAGGACAAGGAGGTAGACCAGCTGTCCTACCTGAGTTCTGGGGCAAAATTCTGCAGAAGAGTGTGTTTGATCTATCCCTTTCTAATTTTATTTTGGAAGCTAGAGAAGATGTGGCTAGGTTTCTAGTAGCTTCTGTCCTTTTAATAATAGGTGAAATACCCTCTTGGAACCCCCCAAACCCTAAATGGTCAGTCCATATGAAGAGGAAAATGATGACCCCCTGGTTCCACTTAGAGCACAATCAGTGGGAGAGGTGACACTCCTCCACTAAATGTGCTACCATAAAAGAAACAGATGGAGCACCACCTGGAGAGGCTGATTCCTTCCTACCTGAGCTATATCTCATAGACCACAAACTTTGCAGTAATGATGTCTCCATCTTGGCATTAGCTAAACCAACTGGCTGGCTTTTGAGATGGTCAGATGACCTAACTTCTGTCTTGTTCTCCTTGGATAGTTTAAGACAACACTTCAAGGGATTTGTTTTGCTTTTGTTTAATCAACTGAGAAAATCTGAGTGTTCTGCTCCATGTGTCAAGGTTCAGAGTGACTGGTATAAGAAATGGAGTCATAATTCACCTGGTCCCATTCTCTAGCATGAAGCTAGTGAGCCGATAGATGTTAGTGGACCAAAACGCCATATCATCCAGGCCTCCAAGGAAATACTCTTGGAACTGTTCCACCAGGAATGGGGACTTTGTAGAGTACGTGGAATACAACTGCAGCAGAAAGAACAATAAGTAAGGTGCTATTCCTGTGGTCTGTATAATCCCTTAAACTAAAATAGGCAAGGAGGGAGTCTTTACCTTGGAAACAGCAAATGTCTCACCATACCTGAAATATAAACAATAATGACTTGCAATTTCTATATGGAAATAAAACAAGAGAAAGCTCCATCCACTTGATACCACTACCATTCGACTACCTTTGATAAACAAAATCCATACAGCCAAAACCCACTCTCAGGATTGAAGTATGAAAAGCATACTAAAAGCCCCTGTAAAGTCAGTTGCAGACATTCCTCTGGTTATACTTACATTGCCAAGAACTGAAGGTGTGTACAATCAACAATGACATTCTTGGTGATGACATCTCGACCATAGAGTTTCTTATAAATTCCCAGTAGATCTGTGATGGGTATGTACCTGAGTAATGCATTAGAATAAAATAAGGAATGTTCCGATGCTGAGTTGAAGATAGCAAGAACTACAAAAGAAATAGCACCTGATAATTATCTGTCAGGTATATCATATGACTGGTCTTTACAGGCTAGTTATTGAATCCTTCCAGTGACCTTAATGATTAGTATTATTGCATCACCATTTTTCATAAGAGGACACTGGGGCACAAAATATTATATACATAACTTGTTCAGTGATGCTCAGCAAACAATTGATACCTTGATCAAATATTTGTAAAGGTATATTGAATGACTGGAAAACACAACAGAAAGGAAATGATTAATTTTGTGAATTTAGAGTTCAAGAAGCAATGTAAAGTTGTCGCATTTTTTGGTTGAATTATTCTCAAAACTATTCATGTTAAAAGTACTAAAAAGGGCTCCTCAGCTTGACATGCTAGTTTCAGAGTAAATAGCATAAAGTAGTGAAAAGAATTTTGGCTCCCAGCTTTTGGTTCACAATCTTATTTCAGCTGGAAGATTAATGTTTTATAAATACATTTGCACTGAATCCTCATTAATTTCCAGACAAAATACATATGACAAAAATCACAATTGATAGAAATATGACTCATATATATTTACAAGAAAGATGGGATTGAGAAGTCATTTATAAAAGCACCAGAATGGTATTCTCTCTTTTTTTTAATGTAGCTTTAAAAGCTAGAGAAAAATAACAAAAATATTTGTTTTGATGAATCACTAAGCTAGCAAAAAGTAAAAAGTTCCCAAACACAAAAAATAAATAGAAACTGGAAAGTTGGGGAGGTAGGCAAGTAGGAACTTCAGCTTTCACCCTGGAGGTATCTTCTAACCCCTGGGGACCTGAAAGGTTTTGATGACAGGTAAGAGACAGAGTGTAGGGACCACCCAAAGTGGACCATCTCAGAAGGTATATCTGCATTAACTCTATACTTTCTGCATGCACATGAAATGGATAAAACAACAACAGCAAAGACTAAGGGCATCCTATTTCCATCTTGGCGACACAGAGAAAGGAAATATATGTATGTCCTCGGCACTGATAAGCCAGTTATTACCACTTCAAACTGGTGGCCTCACTAGTCAGCCTACAAATGTTTTGCCCTACATTCATGTCATCTGTGCAGACAAAAAGATTCAGTGGTTGAATGTAGCTTAACAGAGTCCCCAGATTATAGTGCCTCAGCCTGCAGAACCCATGGCTAACCCTCCTTCACTGGAGAACTGAAGCCTGACTCAAATCCCAAGTAATGCAAGCAGCATGGAAAACAACCAAAAGATGACCAGTGTAACCACAATCCTATCTGGTATAGTAAGCACTAAAGGAACAAGCACTTTTGTAGCAAAAAAAAGTACTTCGACTCACTAGAAAGGACTTTGAAACTTGAATGCATCTAGTACTCTATCTTCAAGACAAATGCACAGCAAATGTTGACAGAATGTAAGAAAAACGGAAACTCCACCATCAAAAAGGGAGACATGTTAAAATTAATTTTTGTCAGGAATCATTAGATCAACCAGACAAAAATAATAATAAATGGCAAGAGTATCTTAGTTATACTATACAAATCTTTTGAACCCAAGAATAAATCAGAGATAATAAACATAATCAACTATGAACATTAAATCAAACTTGAAGAATTAACTTTTTTCAAGATCTTGTGGAATATTCACTATGAATTAGCATAGAAATTTATATTCTAGGCTGTAAATCAAGACTCAACAAATTTCATAGAAACTCAAAAAGGGGATGGAGGCATGGCTCAAGTGGTAGAAAACTTATCTAGGAAGTGTGAAGTTCTGAGTACAAACGCCTGTACCACCAAAAAGAAAAAAAGAAATCCAAAGGAGGAGAAAGAAAAACATAGATATAAGGACAGAAAGCATTAAAATAGAGAATTGAAACATATAATACAAAAAATCGATACAGTATAAAATTATTTTATTTAAAATAAAGCGAGAGGCCAGACACTGGTGGCTCACGCCAGTAATCCTAGCTACTCAGGAGGCAGAGATCTGAGGATTATGGTTCTTAGCCCTGGCAGGAAAGTCTGTACGATTTAAATCTCCAATTAACCATCAAAAAGCCAGAGTATGGCGGTGGCTCAAGTGGTAGAGCACAAGCCTTAAGCAAAAAAGCTCAAGCATTAATGCCCAGGCCCTCAAGTCAAGCCCTGGGACTGGCACACACACATGCGCATGCATTCCCATACACACTACACAGAAGGCAGGATAAACAATAAATGGATAACAGATGGAATAAGAACAAACAAAAGATAAGCCAGCATTATGAACAACCTTAGGCCAAGATGTTTGATCCTTTAGAAAAATGGAAAAGTCCCTAGTTAAACACAGAACTGAAGAAGGGATTGAAAACTATATAATCCTGTAACTCAAGACTTTTTTAATTCCTAAAACAATAGAACTAAATAGCTTTAGGCAAAAATCTATCTAACATTCAAGAGATTAAATTTCTAATATTACACAAGCTCTCAGAGAATATCAAAAGACACTCTCCCCAAAGGTATATCCATGAAGCCAGCACAGCTTTGATTCCAAAACCAAACCAACTAGAAGAAAAATGACTGTACATCACTCATAAAAAGAGGCAAAGCCCTAAGACATCAAGAATAGATGCAACCAACACAAAAGTGATGATGTGCCAACATGACAAAATGGGCTTTGTCCCATTCAGGAAGGCCGATTTAAAATTCATAAGCAGATTAATATACTTTACTACATTAACATACTTTCTGAGTTTGACAAAAGAAAGCCAGAAAGTTACATTAATGATAATGATGGAACTTTGTAAATATTTTCAGATCAGAAACAAAATAAGTATGCTTAGTCTCCTCACCACTTTTAGCACTGTCCTTGAGATGGTCACCAGGGTCACAGCAAGAAAAAGGAGTGAATGGAGAAGCAAAATGGCCACAATTTGTAGACTATAGTGAGACAATAAGTTGTAAAGAATCACCTGTTGTTAGATTAATAATGTAGCTTAGAAATGTTTTGAATACAAGATCAAAATTTAAAAGCCACTTGTGTTTATATATACATGCAATCAACTAGAACAAATCAAAATACCACATGATCTTTCTCATATATGGAATCAATAGGAGCAGATCAATTTTGTAGAGATGGAGAGTAGTATAGTGGTTAGCAGAGGCTGGACAGAGTAAAAGGGAGACGGGGGTCACTAGGTACAAAGTTAGAGGAAGAAGAAATAACTCTGGTGTTCCCCTAGGTGGATGACTACAGTTAATCATATACTGTATATTTTTAAATAGCTAAAAGACAAAAATTACAATGAAATACCTGTATATTAATTAATTTTTGCTCATTTTTTTAGCAAAAACTTACCAGCGTCTTGCAAGGTAATTAAAATTAAACTCGAACTGGCTCACCACATCTCCTCCTATGGCAAGAGAGAAATATTAATATTTTGTGGGTCAGTGACAACATTATGTACTTCTTTCAACTCAAGTTCTCACAAACCAGACCAAGTATTCTCCACATGGCTGCATGATTCTGTTGTTCTAAATACAGGTGTGTTTTTCTCAAAGGAAAAAAATCTTTTAAAAAAATCCTAGCTAGGGGGGCTGGGAAGGTGGCTCAGTGGTAGAGCGCTTGCCTTGCATGCATGAGGCCCTGAGTTCGATTCCTCAGCACCACATCAGCAGAAAAAGCTGGAAATGGTGCTGTGGCTCAGCCTTGAGCTGAAGAGCTGAAGGATAATGCCCAGGCCCAGAGTTCAGCTCCCACGACTGACAAAAAAAAAAAAAATCCTAGTGAAATATATGAATTAGGAAGAAATGTTTCGTATAACCAAAGAACTAATTTTTTTTGCTTGACAAGGAAAGATAAATTGTAAGGATCCCTTTAAATGCCACTCACCACTTAACTCATATATTTAAACTACAGAAAAAAATACAGACTCTCAACTTAACACTAACATAGAACAAATTAGGAGATATTGGCTAAGGAATCTTAATCTAATAGAAAAGAAAGCTTTTCTAAAATGATAACAGTAGTGGAGTCAATGACCAAATATATCAATTTTTAAATAGAAAAAAATAGCTATTTTAACACACATTTCTCTGTTGAATGAGCTATGTCTGTACTCTAAATGAACTTCAACATTAAAGTAATCCTAGCAACATTAAAGCAATCCTATCTACTCAAGTGACTTAAGTTCTGAGGATCAAAATTCAAAACCAGCCTGTGCAGCAAAGTCTGTGAGACGCTTTTATGTCCAATTTACCAGCAAAAAGCCAGAACTGAAGCTCAAATGGTTAAGCACCAGCCTTGAGCAAAAAGAAGCCACACAAAGCCAGGTGCCTGGTGGCTCATGCCTGTAATCCTAGTTACTCAGGAGGCTGAGATCTGAGGATTGTGATTCTAAGCCAGCCCAGGCAAGAAAAGTCTATGAGATTCTTATCTTCAATTAAAAAAAAAAAAGCCAAGCAAGAGAGTGAAATCCAGAGTTCAAGCCCAATATTGGCACCAGCACAAACGTGCATGCATACAAAGTTAGCATATATTGCTCACAAAATGTAATAAACACAAAGCATTTAGTGATTTCATTCTAAGTGAACTATTACTACCACAAGGGGGAAAACATGGCAAATATAAACAGTACCAAAATCACCCACTGTATGGGCCTCAGAATAGGAGCCGTGGAAATCAATCTGTGAAAGAAAGAAACAGTTGGGTGGATCAGCAACCGTAGCCCAAATTCTCACCCAGTCAAGAGAGCAGTAGGGAGGTGACAGCCCACCCCAGTGGATGCTGAGGGGCACCCAAGAAGACATGTTACTTTACTTTTTATATTGGTAACTGAGTAAGATAACAAAGCTATTTGCAGAGAACTGTCCTTTCTAAGGTAAATGTAAAATCCCTAATGAAGTCCCAGTTGAAATGTCTATCAAAATGGGATTACTATCAACTCATGACAGCAGGGTCTTTCAGTAGCCAAGCCATTAGGTAAGATCATGACTTTCAGCTGGGGGATATGGCATTTTCTCAGAAAGTTAAAAAAGCAGGGCTGAGAATGTGGCTTAGTGGTAGGCTTACATGAAGCCCTGGGTTCAATTCCTCAGTACCACATACACAGAAAAAGCCAGAAGTGGTGCTGTGGCTAGAGTGCTAGCCTTGACCAAAAGAGGCTGAGGGACAGTGCCCAGATCCCAAGTTCAAGCCCCAGGACTGGCAAAAAATAATTAAATTGAGCCAAGTGACAGACATTTTTATCCTTGCTGAGACACACAACTTAATGAAATCATCGTGCCTTTCACTTTTCTAAGTGCACATTAGTCATCCAGTTCTTGTGGATGAATTTGCTCCCGTGACATGAATGAAAGGAATGAGCGAGGCTGAGAGATGTGGTTCAAGTGACAGGGCACTCAGTACTACACCCCCCCCCCAAAAAAAAGTGAATGAATATAAGAGATGAATCTAAATTAACACCATTTGGGGCAAGAAATCTTGTTTCCACATCACATTAGACTATAGTAACCTAAAGTTTTCCTTCCTTTTAAGAATCCTTTTTGAACTGGGCATCAGTGGCTCATGCCTGTAATCCTACCTACTCAGGAGACTGAGATCTGAGGATTAAGGTTGAAAGCAAGCCTGGGCAGGAAAATCTATAAGATTCTTGTCTCCAATTAACCAGCAAAAAGCACTAAGTAGAGCTGTGGTTCAAGTGGTAGAGCGCCAATCTTGAATGAAGCAGCTAAGGGTCAGCACTAGGCTTCAGTGCTGGCACATGTGTGCACACACACATACACACAAAGTCCTTTGTTAAACATGAGTGTGACCACAGCATTCTCATAATGTCATCAGCCACAGAGACAAATACTCACCACTCCCATTGTCCTAAGAAATCCCTGTTCAATACCCAGGCTGTGCCAGCTGACATCGGCCACCATGTGAGAGGTAATTCCAAACAGGAAAGCTACCAGTTTCTCTGTGTCCTGCCAAACAAGCAAGTTACAGCCATGTGTGATGAGACAAAACAACTCTATAAAAAGCTTTTATAAGGGTGACTTTATTTCCTTTAGTGAGATTCAACCAGAAATTCTAGGCAAGTATATTATAGTTTCAAGAAACTAAAGCTACACAGAACATTTGTAGGTTTGTAGTGAGTGTCTAGAACTAAAGTACTTTCAAACTTGTTTTTCCCAATGTACTCAAATACTAACTGGGCACTTAGTGCATCTTGATTACTGTGTGTGGTACTGGAGTTCTAATTGTAAATCGCTGTCCCCAGGGTCTGGAGAGAAGCAGTCATTCGGGGAAGTACAGGAGCAAAAGAGAACTTTGCAGGTCTAGGGTGAATTGGTTGAGGCTTACAGGCCCTGCATACCTTTTCCCAGGGAAGAGGGTAGTTCTCCCGGATATAATGAATGCTTGCATTCAGAAACGGAGTCCAATGAGTCCTCTCTGACACATCATGGAATTTTCCTGGCAAACAAAAGCAGATTCTGGATTTTTAAAGTTGGAAGGGTTTCCGGAAGAGTCTCCAGATTCCACCCCCCCCATCCACCATACACACTGTCCACTGTCCACCATGCTGTTAAGTTCCCCCCCCCTCCTCCCAATGACCCCTCCCCACATTTGTTTCTTCTGTTGATGGTCACAGGATGACTCCATTTTTGGAGCAGGCAAGGGATTGTGGGTAGGGAGCCCTCCAGGAACAGCAAAACTGGCTCACAAAGTGTCCTGTTGCTGGCTACAAGAGAAGCTAGGTTTCCACTCCCCCTTCCATGCCTTAAAAACAAGTTTGGGTTGTTTGGATTTGATGGGAATGAGAGGGAGGGGTTCAGTCCCTTCTTTGAAAAACCCTCAGAGCACACACACAAAACAGATCCACGTACTTTGAAGTACTTGAAATCTCTAATTGTTTTTGTTTTTAATTTGCACAGGCTCCAGTGAATATTACCCAAACACTACTGGAGTGAGCTTGACACACCATGTACCATCTTATTTCCCCCAGCAGCAGCAGGACACTCACAAACAAAATGTTCTAAACTTCCTGAGTGCCACGGATTCTTTATGGGGTGGCCAAAGTCACAAAGCAAGTAAGAGCAACACTCCACAGCTCAAATCCCTTCAGAAAAAAATAATAATGTTGTAATGTTGTGCTAACGTAAAACTTGCCTAAATAGCACTTTAAAATATTTTTTCATCATTTAACTTTCCCCACATTTATTAGTATTGATTAGTTGAATGGGGAAGGTCATTTAGATATGTCCACATTCTCTTACAATGTACCTTGACCAGACTCATCCTTGAAATGATTTTCAAAGAAGCTAGAACCAAGAAATTTGATTGTTACAGTTTTCCTAGAGGTAAAAACTTCCCAAATACAGAAAAATCCCAGAATTATCCTTTGGAACAATCTCTGCTTAGGGGACAAATCAGGTGGAGCCTGGTAGTTTGTGCTGGTAATCCTATGACTCCTTTTACCAGTCATTACAGACTGGAAGCAAAAGCAACTAACTCCCTTCTGGGTGAACTGGATGCCGATTCCTAGGCAAGCCACCGCCCAAAGGCCAAAGCCCATCTCCTCTGTCAGTGCTGTGTTACTGAACACCACCCAGGGCCCCTCAGGGCTCTTTGTAAACCTGTTTAGATCATTCGTCCCTGTAATCTGATTATATCACTTGGTTCCATGTTAGGGAAACATGAAATATGAGTGTAAATGCAGAGTTCTTTTCTTCTGGCATTTAAGAAAGTCACATACTTTCAAAAGGCCCAATACAAGTAAATCGGGAGAGAAGAAAAAAGCTGCTACCAAATTAGATGTGTATGAAAACAAAAGATTTGGAGGGAAAAGTCCTAAAAAGAAATCGAAGATAAATCCATAGGCAAATTCCTTAATTATGTATTTCTTTCTAATTCACCTTTATTTATCACATACTGATCCCAAATTTATATGAGGGCATATGTTGCTTGTGATAATACCCAAAATACTAGTTTACATTCCCTTTCCACTCTTTTCAGCATTTTTCATGTGCATTTTGTCTATCTCTAGAAATGGCACACACTTAACAATGTTTCTTACATTTAATAAACAAAACAATTGTTCCTTTTGTCTAGGATATCAAGAAATTTAAAAAAATCAAGGGATAGATTTGCTATGAATATGGTTCCAGAAATGTTAAACTAGATATAAGTTAGAATGAATGAGAAGTACAACACACAAGCAAAATCATAAGGTTGAAAATTGAGTCCAGTTAGACAAAGCCTCTTGGCTTTGGCATGGTACTACACTCCTGTAACCCTTCAGAAAGCTGAGGTAAGGAAATCGAAAGTTTAAGACTAGTCTGGGCTAGCCTGCAGTCTGAGCTATATAGAAAGATCCTGTCTCAAAAAATAAACCAGGCGTCAGTGGCTCACACTTGTAATCCTAGCTACTGAGGAGGCTGAGATCTGAGGATGGCAATTCAAAGCCAGTCCAGGCAGGAAAGTCTGTGAGACACTTACCTCCAATTAACCGCCAGAAAACCAGAAGTGACGCTGTGTCTTAAATGGTAGAGCACTAGCTTTGAGGTAAAGAGCTGAGGGACAACCCAGGCTCAGAGTTCAAGCCCCATGGCCAACAAAAAATAAATAAGTAAAATAAACCCAATTCTGAGAAATCAATTTGAGCATGTCTTCTGTACCCTGCTAATGTTCTTAAAAATCTCTGAGCCAGGTGCTAATGGCTCACGCCTATAATCCTACCTACTCAGGAGGCTGAGATCTGAGGATAGTAGTTTGAAGCCAGCCTGGGGAAGGAAAGTGTGTGAGATCCTTATTTCCAATTTACCAGAAAACTGGAAGTGGCGCTGTGGCCCGAAGTGGTAGAGTGCTAGCCTTGAGCAAAAAAGCTCAGGGACAGTGTCCAGGCCCTGAGTTCAAGACCCACAACCAAAAACAAACCAAAACAACAAACCTCTGAGCCCAGTTTCTGGCTAACACTGACAAAATAGCATAAATGCTGGCAATAAGCCAGTGAAAAGGTTGGGCATGAATATCACTGCTACCTGGAAGAAATGGAAACTGTGGATTTTCTCAAGACCACAGGCAATGTAGCAGGAACACAAACTCAGACTGGATCTAATTCTCATATGACACCATGCAGTCAAGCAAATAAGGATACTTGGAATGAGTTTCACCAAAAAATAAATAAAATTTTCAGAAATTCTACACTTACACAGGCAACATTGACCCACAATAGAGACAAACATGCCATGCTGGGATTGTCCATTTTAGAACTCTATATCCAATCCTATTAAGCAGTTAAAAGCACCATAGTCCAGTCTATAAACCTTCACCTTACCTCCCTTGCAGATGTCAGGGTAGAAGGAGTCAGGAAAGACGGCCCCAGCCTGATAGGCATCCTGGTGTTCTAACAGCAGCTGGGGAGAGGGATTAGAGGTTAGGAGATTAGGGGAAAGAGTCTGTCCCCTGGAAAATGCCACCTCTGGACCTCCCAGCAACGCCATGCCAGAGCTCCAGGGGTTATGGAGCAAAGGAAAGGCCGGCAAGAATAAGTAAATAACTGATCAAAATTTATGCATAATTTAAGGAACATCCTACAATACATAACTTCAGGTTCGTGTGTGTGTGTGTGTGTGTGTGTGTGTGCGCGCGCACGTGCACATATGCACCCTCGCGTGCCAGTACCAGACTTAAACTTAGTGCCTCCTACTCTCACTTCGCTTTTTGTCTAAGGCTGGCTCTGCACTTACTGAGCCACTCCTCTACTTCTGCCTTGTGGGCTGGTTAATTGATGAGTGTCTTGGGATTTGTCTGCCCAGGCTGGCTTTAAACTTCAATCCTTACTCAGCAGAGTAGTGGTTGCTGCTGGCTGCAGAACTCAAGGGGCTGTAATGGGAACAGGCACTCTGCGCACTGCAGAAAACCAGTCTGGATGTACTAACAAAACAGAATGTGTGAGCCAACAAAACTCAGACTTCAGAAGTGCAGGTCTTGGAGGAAGAATGCAGTGACAAAATTCAATACCTATTCCACAAAATCAACAAAATTGAGGGAAGGAGTGTGGTTGGGAGAAAAATGAAGCAAGAGGTGACTTTGATCAGATGCACTGTATTCATCAACTGCTTCACTGAATGGAAACTCGTTTATATAACTAAAGGATTGTTTTTGTTTTGTCTTTGGTGGGGATGGGAGGGTTTGTTCACTTTTTGTTTTGGGGTTGTAGGGTGGGGGTTGTTGGTGGTGGTGGTCATGAAGCTTGAACTCAGGGCCTGGGCACTGTCCCTGAAGTTTTTCACTCAAGGCTAGCATTTTGCCACTTTTAGCCACAGTGCCACTTCGGGTTTTCTGGTGATTTATTAAAGGTAAGAGTCTCACAGACTTTCTTGCGGTGGCAGGGGGGGCAGGGTGTTTAAACCATGATTCTTAGATCTCAACCTCATGCGTAGCTAGAGTTACAGGCATGAGCCATCAGTGCCCAGCTAACTAAAGATTTTTATTAATTTTTTTATTGCGAAAATACTATACAGAAGGGTTACAATTACATGAGCAAGGTAATGAGTACCTTTCTTATCAAGCATTGTTGCCTCCTCCTTGGAAAGCAAAGTAATCCTTATGGGTTATCTTCAAGTTTTTAGGGGGAATGTGGGTGTTCATTCACACCCAGTGAATGGATGAATAATGATGACATTCAGTGCTCTGATCAGACTCCTTGCTGAGAGAAACTATACTCATCTAACATGTTTGAAATGAAGTCCAAAATTGAATGCCTCTATCAGAAAGCCAGTCACACACTCAGGGCTGATTGATTCTAACTTCTCCTCACGCCTATCTACTCCTTGCCCCTCTCCTGCCCAGTCCCAGGCACAGTCCCTGAGCCTCTTTGTGCTCAAGTTAGTGCTCAATCATTTGAGCCACAGCACCACTTTCGGCTTTTTCTAAGTAGTTTATTAGAAGTAAGAGTCTCATGGACTTTCCTGCCCAGGTTGACTTAGATCCCTATCTACCTTCTATCAAGGTCAATGAAAATGTCAATTAAGATACATATGCCTGTACAAGACACTATGTTGAAAACGAACTTTACATCTTGGAGCAGAGGGAGTTGGGGAGGTGGAGAAGGAAGGGATGGTACAGGAAAAACAAAGAAGGGGGTAACAATGCTCCATAGGAAATGTACTCATTACCTTACTCATGTAACTGTAACCCCTTTGTACAGTATCTTTACAATACACACACACACACACACACACATATATATGGAAATTTTTTTTTTGGGTCTGTTCGTGGGGCCTGAACTCTGGGCCTGGGCGCTGTCCCTCAGCTCTTCAGCTCAAGGCTAGCGCTCTACCACTTGAGCCACAGCGCCACTTCAGGGTCAGAATGGGTTAAACTAAGTTGAGGGTGAGTAGAGGTGAGCCCTCAGGTAGTCCTGCCAAAAGTGTGGCAGGAGGAAAAATGGAACCTCAATGCAGACTTCTTAATAAGACCTCTGTTTCCGGGGCTGGGGCTATAGCCAGAGTGCTTGTCCCACACATGCAAGGCCCTGGATTCAAACTCCGGCACCACAAAATAAAATAATAAAGTTAAAACTTCCTGCTCCTCCTAGTGATGCACTTTGTATAAACACACCATGACAAAGGGTAGAAAATAAACAATTTCTCTTAAGTCTGACTTCCCTTTTAATAAAGATGTATTTGAGAGTATATTTTGGCAATAGATTTTCTTTTCTTTTTGTGTGTGTGTGTGTGTTTTTGGCTAGTCATGGGCCTGAACTCTGAGCCTGGGCGCTGTCCCTAAGCTCTTCAGCTCAAGGCTAGCGCTCTATCACTTGAACCACAGCGCCACTTCCAGCTTTTTCTGCTTATGTGGTTCTAAGGAATCAAACTCAGGGCCTCATGCATGCAAGGCAAGCACTCTACCACTGAGCCACCTTCCCAGCCCCTGGCAATAGATTTTCAAATTATGATTCTGATTGCTAAAGTATCCAAATTCCAAGGGGGAAAAAAAAGGCTTACATTTTAACCCTTTCATTTATTCAGAATGTGCAACTGTCTCATCAAGGTCACAGATTAGATATCTAACTTATATTTCCTTTTAAGAATGTCACAATTTTGTTCATCCAAATAGAGTTTTGTCAAGTTAAAAAAAAATTCCCACAACAACAACAAAATTAAGGATCAGTGTGTTAGTGACATACACCTGTAATCCAAGCTACTCAGGAGGCCGAGATATAAGAATAGCAGTTTCAAGCCAGCCCAGGCAGGAAAGTCCATGAGATTCTCATCTCCAATACATCACCAAGAAACTGTGGTACAAGCAGTAGATTTCTAACCTGGAGCACAAAAGCTCGAGGGACAGTGCGTAGGCCCTGAGTTCAAGCCCTAGGACCGACTGACCAACCAACCAACACACACACACACACACAGTTTTAAACTACTTAAAATTTATTATATATATATATATGTATGTATATATATGTATATATATATATATGTATGTATATATATGTATATATATATATATATATATTCTCCAGTGGCATTGGTGGGAACACACACTTTTAAAGCACAGCATTATGATGGGAATCTGTATCGTTCTTTTAACTTCATGTTGTTCCCATGGCCCACGGACCACCCTCCCTCAGGGACCCCTTCTTGTTCTCAGGAAACCTTCACCCCTGACCTTGTCTGAAAGTGCAGGGCTGCCAACCTCAGTAGGATACTCCTACCATAAAACCTCAAACAGGACAGTTTGCACCCTCAATCCCAGTTTGTACCCCAAATCCCCAATAGGACAAGACAAAGAAATTCGGAGAAGAGTCTCACCATAAAATATATAAAAATCTAAAACCCTCTACACTTCTCACGCTTTGCTTCTGCAACCCTGCTCGGTGTTACATGAGGTTTCCTGCAGCCCTGAGAAAAGCCAGCTCTGGTGGACTGAAGTCTCTGCCTTCTTTCTCTCCTTGCGTCCACTTGATCTTTCCTAACACTCATGACTCGGTTTCCTAACACATCAGTCTTATAACAATGAGTTCTAGAACTGGTTTAAGTATCTGTAAGGACCTTTGTACCCACTGCAGGATTTGATGTGGAGAGAGCAGGCGGGCTTTATACCTTTCTGTAGTTAACACGCCCATCTTCCAGATGAAGAAATTGCAGGGCTCTGTGTCCTGAAAGAAATGAATTCACAGCGCAATTAAGTTCCTCTGTATTTGTCAGAGATCATTCTGAAAATGAAATGAATAACTGTGAACTTGCAAACTATCTGCGAAGCAGGAAATGAAAATCAGTTTGGGCTCACTGGGAATTTTCTGTACAGATGCTTATATTAATAGAATACAATAAAATTTCCTTGGTGACTTAAAGTTTCTGCTGAACTAACTCTGGGGGCTTGGGTAAACTGAGGCCCTCTAGGTTTCAGTTCCCTCCTACACACAAGGCAGTAATAATCACCTTAAAGGGTTGCTGGGAGAAACCATGGAAAAGAACCAAGTACAGTGGCTTGACCCCAATGAGAGAGGCTCAAAAACCACCAACTGTCACTTTTGTATTTTGTCTCAGAATTGAAGTAGGTAAACTTACATCAGAAATATAAGCCCTAAACGATGGGCTAATCCATGGTTCCCAAATGATTGTTTATTATTGGAACTCATTAGAAGGACCAAGTATCTCAGAAGGCTACCTGCTCTATACATGGAGCAAGACACAGACAGAATCAACAGAAAGACTAACATAGCTAGGTGCTGTGGCTTACACCTGTCATCCAGCCACTTAAGAGGTAAAGATGAAAAACATTACAGTAAAAAAAAAAGTTAATGGGACCTCATGTCAGGAGAAGTCTGGCATGCTGCATGCAACGAATCCCAACTATATAGGAGGTATAGCTAGAAAGATCTCTGTCCAAGGCCAGCCTCAGAAAAACAAAAATACAAGACCTAATCTAAAAAATAAATAATCAAAGCATAAAAGGCTGGAAGTGTGTCTGAAGCAGTAGAGAGAGCAAGTTCAAAACCCCTAGTTAAGAATGAAATTAACATTCCTAGGAACAAACATGCCAAGGTAACACCTTATTTCTATGATGAATAGCTTCTAGTTTTAAAATCCATTCAACAAGTATATAGCTGCTCCAATTATCGTAGGCATTAATGCCATGAGGCAAATCAGAGCACAAATAATTCATACATAGGATTCCTGTGATTTACAAAGCTCAACACCTGAATGAGGCCAACTTGCTACATGAGTATCACACAAATTCCATGACAAGGAAAACATCACCTATGATGTTGATGACATCACATAAGGCAATTAGAAAACAAGTCATAAAACTTGTCTCTTTTACAGAGAAACTCGTAGAATCTGTACAGATTCTATTCAGAAGATGTCTTTAAGTATGCTCACCTATATACACATGCAGGTATCGTTCAACATCCCTTAGGACTTTTTTTTTGGGGGGGGGAGGGTCTGGTCGTGGGGCCTGAACTCTGGGCCTGGGCGCTGTCCCTCAGCTCTTCAGCTCAAGGCTAGCACTCCACCCCTTGAGCCACAGCACCACTTCCGGCTTTTTTTTTTCTGCTTATGTGGTGCTGAGGAATCGAACCCAGGGCCTGGTGCATGCAAGGCAAGCGCTCTACCACTGAGCCACCTTCCCAGCCCCCCCTTAGGACTTTTCTTTGGCACCTCTCCTATACATTGTTTCTAATTCTAAAATTAAAAACTTGAGCATTGCCATTTATGTTTGTTCCTCTTCAGTTTACCTTATAGTTTTAGTTATTTCAGTTCCACTGAGCTTATGGTTGAAAGACTCTGGAATTCAATAAGAAGTTCAAGTCCCTTGTTTCTTAGTGGAGGGACTGAGAGGTGCAAAGATGGCCTGGAGCCATGTATCTAGTTTACAGCAGTGGAGTCTTAAAACAAAGGACTGAATCTTTTCTCCAGTGTATCCTGACTCCTCTCTGGCAACCAATGTTTAACAGACACCAAACTTGCTGTCAGGATGTGAAACTCTAGGCCAGGCTGCCCAGCATTACACATAACAAAGATAGCTATGAAACTCTGCAGGATCAGTTTCCTTGTCTGTAAAAGAACATGACTTAAGTGACCTCTGGTGTGCCCTTCAAAGAGTTTAAATTTGGGAGATCATTGATTCTACTCTAGTTCTCTATCTACATCTATTTTACACTGATAAATTTTCATATCTTATTTGTAATTTTATCATTTCTGGAGGCGGTAAAATGGTAAAGTATTTTCACAAGAATTAAAGAAAACCCAGAAACTACAGGATATTTATAATTATGTAATCATATTCAACTGATGAATTTACCTATGACTTGGCATTTTCCATGTTAAAAATATTCCAAACCCAAATTCATAGAAGAATCAAACTGGGGGAGAATGATAAAGAGGCAATATTGATGAAGATTCATTACTGATGTGTTGAATGGTAACCCCTTTATACAATTACGTAAAGATAATAATACACAATAATTTTTTTAAAAAAAGAATCAAGCCACATGCTGGTGGCTCCCTCCTATAATCCAGCTACTCAAGAGGCTGAGATCTGAAGATGAAGGTTCACAACCAGTCCAGGCAGGAAAATCCATGAGACTCTTTATCTCCAACTTAGCACCAAAAAAGCCAGAAGTGGAGCTGTGGCTTGAGTGGTAGAGCTCTAGCCTTGAGCAAAAAAACTCATGGTGAGCACCTAGGCCCTGAGTTCAAACCCCAGGACCCCCCCCCCACAAATATAAATAAATAAAAATAGTCAAGTTGTTTTCTTTTTTTGGGGGGGGAGTCCAGTTGTGGGGCCTGAACTTTGGGCCTGGGCGCTGTCCCTCAACTCTTCAGCTCAAGGCTGACGCTCTACCACTTGGGCCACAGCGCCACTTCCAGCTTTTTTCTTTTTGCTTATGTGGTGCTGAGGAATTGAACCCAGGGCCTCATGCATGCAAGGCAAGCACTCTACCA